CTGCCCACCGTGTGCTCGGCCTTGGTACCGCGTCGAAGGCTGCGTGCTCGTGCGAAAGGCCAGGCCCTACACAGAATTCTGTGTGACGGGCAGCGCTGCACCTCGAGTGCTGAGCGCTTGTTTGTGCTGCGTGTCGACGATCGTTCTGTGCTCTATGCGAGTGTGGGAAGCAGCTGTGAGCCTGAGAGACCCTTGGTGAACGTCGTTGAGGCGTCTTGGTGAGAGTTGGAGACCGGAAAAGCCAAGTTCTTGGCAGTGTTGGCAGTGTTGGCTGTGGCGAGTGCTGCGAACTTTGTGTCAACGTTGTCGATGAGTCGGTGACTGTTGGACGAGCTGAGGAGCACTGCTGTGAGGTGGAGTGACCTTGGGACATGTGCTGGGGACTGCGTCTTCATGGTCAAGTCCTGAGAGACTTAAAAGAGGGACAGAAAGTCGGAAGCCCTGGAGGTGACTTTGTATCCGGACGATATTTTGGTCTCTCTTGGCGGTGAACGTTAGGCAGCCAATCAAACATGAGAGTGTTGCAGTGAGTTGTGGAGTGAGAAGAAGTGGGGGGAACTGGGGAAAACATTGGGTTGTGCTTTTGCGACCATAGTGCTTGTGAACACAGTTTTGCTTGCTTCTGATATTCCTATTCACTGTGCACGTTTGTTGCAAAGAATCGTTGCAAGTGCTTATCGACAGTTGGTCTCATCGATGCCAAGGGATAACCTCCCTTTGGCAAGGCTGGTAAGGGAGGTCGCTGCCTTGAAGGGGCGCCTTACCTTTCTGTGGGAGGCTGAGCGTGTTCAGAGGGAGCGTGCAGCGAGGGGAGAAAGTGTTGGTGACTTGCCCAGGACTTCTTTTGATTTGCATTCTGGCCCAATTTGTGGCACGGTTAAATATCAAGTGGCTTGTGCTCTTCTGGCTGGAATCTTTGTGGGTTGTTTCCTGTCCCTGAGCGCTCTCAGCTTCGGTCTTTGGATTGGTTCTCCCCTTTGAAGGGCGGGAGAGCACGTGGCCGTGACTCAGCCGCCGCCTAGTCAGCAATCACACGTAATGGCCATGCAATACACAATTTCAACTATGTACCCTTAAACAACTATGTAGACTACATAGTCTTCTAGGATGCATGGTTAAAACTGCATCAATATGTGTACTAAATGTGTACTTTTGGGACCACATTTGTCGAAAGTACACAATTGGATTTTGAGCAGACTATGACTGTTCCATCTGGCTTGTTTTTTCTCTACTACATTTTGTATATGAAAGAAGCTTTCCCAAGCATGTGGCCTGTGTTATTCTAACTGCAAACTTCAGCGCTTTATAGTGTATATGTCATGAAGGCTTTGTTCTGTCAATCGACAATTTTCCTTGTTGGTCGGCATTGTCCTTGTCCCAAGATCTTCCTTGCCAATCTTTCAGTGCGCCTTGGCTAGCCTTTTCCCACTCCCTCCTCCTTTCATGGTGTAGAGCTAAACTTGCATTGGGCGCCATACTTTGCACATGGAGGGCAAGCTGGGCCATGATTGCTGGCCTGTGCTATGCTGCGTGAGACTGTGCAGTCTCGCATTGCAAGGGTGGCAGTCTGGCAACCCGCAACTGTGGCGGCGCTTGCCGCTACTTATGCTTGTGGGAACTGCTGTGTTTCCGGTCGATAACCCCTTGTTGTGGCGAGTCAAGGCGCGACGACTTGGGGCATAGGCACAAAGGTGGTATGCGCCACACCAAAGCGTATGTTGCTGGGCTGGGGAATGATACCGGTCATGTGGGAGGAATACACAACGACTTTAACGAAATGCGCCAGCCACGGCCATCCCATCGGCTTGATCAACGAGCATTGCTCAGAAAACCAATGCAACCCGACTCGCCAAGCCTTTATGCATCCAATGCGCCTGGCCATGCATGGCTGTAGCCCTTGCCAAAGCAAACGCACGTGCCCAACAGTGACGTGGGTGCTTCTCAGTACTTCACGATGTTTTCCAAACATGACAATAGTGTGCCCGCATCGGCAGTGTGCCACATACTAGAGTTGCGTCCGGCATCACAACTGCATTGCTTTGGGTTTTTTGGGCATATAGTGAGGCTGCCATAATTCCTCTCTGTCACTAAAGTCATCCCCTTGCATTCTGAATGCCTTGGGCTTAGGTTACTAAAAAATTCTGGAGGACCCCTAGTTGATGTTTTGGGGTTTTGCCTCATTGAGTACCAACCTACTGGATGAAAATCAGTGTGACAAAGGTGCTGAGGCTGTCAACATCCCCTCTGTATCCTTTCTGGATCTCATAGATCGCCAGTTGAGTGATATACTTGACTTACTAATTTTTTGATGAACCCCATTTATTGGCAACCTGAACAACACCCAATGCTCTAACCAGTTGCAATGTGCAAGAATTGTAGAATGTTGTGAAGGGGGAATAGCATGTACATACTAAGGTGTGAGAATTGGCTTCTTATGGATTCACAGATGGCAGAGCTGATGGGCCAGGCTGAGTGGTTATCGAGATACGGGTTTGGGATTATGGTCTACTGCAGCATGGACTCTCCATCATTGCCCAAAATAGAGAGGTTGGGTAGACAAATAAAGAGAAAATTCTTGTTTCTCAACACCAATTCAATACTACAGTTATAATGATCTACATCATTCACATGGCCATGTGCAACATTTGCAAATATTTGCAAACCAAAAGTGAAAAGAAAAATCAAGGCATTGTTACTTATAAGTGCACATAAATCTTATGAATGCTAGAGAGAGCGTTGAAATCGATGTTTCGGTTGGTAGGGTCCCACTGGCAACTTCAAAGTCTTGAAGGTCAAAATTTTGACTGTGTCCACAATGTAGCTTCAAGATTCACCATGAGCTGTGGCCAGGGACAAATCGCTCCTCCGGTGAGCCACTGAAACTCACCGTAGTATGTGCTTTTGACTGGGCCGCCAGCAAAAGGGACAGATGTGAGCTGGCCATCCCAATTTCTAGATGGCCAATTGGCACCGGCTGCAGCACCTCAATCGACTCTATTACCCGCGATAGGTTAGGTGGGTGACCTGCCTCCATTGTGCTCGCATCTCCCCACTGATTGCTGGCATGCACCTTGGCGATTAAGTTTGGGGTATGTGCCCATGGCCGGCAGCAAGGGCGCACTGGCACGGCCGGCGATTGGGCGTGCGCAACACAAATGCAACACACCCGCCTACCCACCGAATGCACCCCCACTTCCTGGTGCCAGCACAACTTGATCGGTATGTGGTTCAACTCAACCCGCTCGCATCCGCAACTTGCCCCAACCCACCCGTTTCTTGATGCCCTCCCCCATCCACTTGTCGATCAAGTAGCCTCGGCATGTCGTCCACCTCCATTGCCTCGCACCATGCCCTCCACTCCTTGAGGTACGAATCCTTGTGCCTCCTGGTGCCCCGGTTCTCATGGCCAGCCACCACCGCCTGCTCCGTGGCGTCCAACTCCTCGGGTGTGTGGAGCTTACCCTGCACCCCGTCGCCATTGCGGCCGCCCGCCACCATCAGGTCATTTTCCTTGTCGCTGCCTTCCCCCGGCGCTCGCGCTCTGTCACGCGCGCTGTGGGCGCTGCCTTGTCTGTCATCGCCGCCGCCAGCTGGGGGCCTGGACGGGCCAATGGGCGGCGGGGTACGCCGAGAGGCAGGGCTCCCGCTAGCTGCGCCTAGTAGCTCACAGGCCCGGCGCGCTGGTCGGGCATCCGAGCGGCAGACGTGCACATGGAGGGTGGGAGCGACGCACGGCCCACGCGCCTCCGCACCCAAGGGGCCGGTGGGGGATGAGTCGGTGCCGACGTCCATTGCAGTGTCAAGCTTGCCGCGCGCATGGGTGTGTGTGGGCCCCAAGGCCTGAGTGCCATAATCTGGGGAACGGCGGGGGCCAGGGAACGCTCTCTGCATTCCTTGGCAAGGGGGCCCCGTGTGACGTGGCGTTCCCTGGTTGTGCGGGATTATGCTGTAATCCACCTCCCCCTCCCAGCATCAATCCATATGTCGATGTAGGATGACTCAGCAGGATTATCTAACAGCGCTGTACAACCTCAAGATATTTTCAAAGAACACCAAGTAGTCAGAAAGGCAGCGATTGTAATATGTTGCAAAAGGAGATGCTGAAAGTAGTTTTGGGCGACGGGGTAGCCCTAATGGCTGTAAATTGTGGCAGTTTGAATCTTCAAGCTTGAACGCCTGAGGGAGGTTTTGGAACAAGTTATGAGCTTGTTGCCGCTCATCAGCAGCGTTTTTGCGCATGTTGTCACTTTATGTCGATTTTGTGGCAATTACATAATTTCTTAGCGTCACAGATCTTGAACCCATCCACCCCTTGGGCGTCAATTGATGGTAAGCGTACCAAACTCGACATAGTGTCTTCCCCAGTCCCAAGAATTCAAGCGTATTCCAAAACGAGATACTGGAGTATTGTTGAATATAGCAGAGACCGAGGAGTGGCCGCCCATTCAAGCCAGCAAGCACAATGAGTGGGGGAGCGTGACAACCAGAGGGCGCGGGTGCTTGGTTGTGAATGTCCCTGTCTACAAGAGGGAACATGACAACAACGTATCTCGCAGGCACCAACTGGCCATCAGATTGGCTCGGGAAAAGTCTCTGTATTACATATTGAATAGCTGTCTACAGAATAAGGAGCAAAACAATCGCATCCTGAGCAGGCATAGAACAGCGATGATCCCATTTCTGCTCAATCCAAATACACCCAGCAGCTGGGTCTGGTCACGAAGCGCAATCAATTCCCCAACAACGCCCACGTTTATACACCGAGAGAGAAAATAGCCGAGGTGAGACAGTGTGCGAGATATATATATGTGCTCCTCTCGCAAGAAAATCAAGTCTGACACTGACAAGAACCTCATTTGAGCACCTGCTGTGGCAGTGCATTCGTTGGAGCCCATAGGACAGCAACGGATACAGAAGGACTCATGACGCAGCAACAATCTCTACAAAGAATTAACCCATCAATACCAAAGACCAGTGAATTGCAGAGGAGTCATCCGTGCCTAGAATGCCACAGCCGCTTCCACGATTGGCACCTTGGCAGATGTGTTTGGTAGCACTTCCGCATCTTCTTGAACGTCCTTTGTGCTCTCATGCCCCCTATTGATGTAAGCAGAGCACACCTCCACCAACTCCTTATCGAACAGTTCCTATTTCAAGGCACCACACCCATCAATGTCATCAACAGAATCAAGAGCAAACCGACATTCCACTCCAAGGAACGGAACTTTGGGCCAAAAGTCAGAACGTTTATGTGCTGTGTATTCAATAACAATGTTACCCAGCACAGCTGTTGCAGTGAATCATAACACAACTCACCACATCCACAACGTTACAATGCCCTTTCACCCAAACCTTGTCAAATCCTTGACAGACAACGAGCATGCTCAGAATAATTCTCTTGAAAAAGGTCGGGTTAGAGTGACAACATTTGCCACAGAATCTATGTTGCATATGTGGGATCCAAAACCTCACCCTCCATAATCCAGAGAACTAGAGTCAGTTTCATTGATAGTGTGGCGCTGCCAACCCCTGTTCGCCCTCTCAAGGCAAGGGCATGTGTTCCCCTAAGTTCAGCAGCAACACCTAAGCCTCAGGCAGCACAAAAGGTATTGCTCTGGCCAGATGTCAACACACCAGAGTCACCATTCTTTGGGTATGGTGGCCAATCTGCACATTATCTACACATACATTGTATTGGCCATGTCCTCTTTGCAGCTGTGTGCTGCACACACAGCATCGGATGCACAGTGCGATTCGTTTTGAGGAAGCCAGTAGAGGCTGGACTGAAAAAACAGGGCAAGACAAAATATTATAAGCATGCGAAGGCGGATTGCCATATTGTCAACTGTGCTGGATGCCAATGCCAATAACCTTGCCTATATCCTACCGGTTGATCCATGAACACAAAGTGTCCTGCATCTGGGATGGACACAATCTGTTGATCTGAAGCAACCTTAGGGGCACCTTGCTTCTTCCTGAGCCGCTTCAAAGCTCGTTCTGCAGCAGCAGGGTCCATCCAGTCGTCCTCCCCATAGATGAAGGTGACTGGGACTTCCAAGTTTTCCAGGCGGCCCTCGAGAGCATGCACCGCCCAGGCAAAAGGGGTCATGATGTGACGAAGGGCGAACTGGAGCCCATGAAAACGGACATTAGTTGCAAGAGCGAGCACTGTGCAGCTAAGAAACTAAACAGCAAATGCACAAGCAGTAAAATTGCACTCTGAAACTCCAATCCACATAAAGCACTAAATCTGGTGCAGGCCAAGCACTGACCAGAGCAACAACTTAATAGACTATTTCATGGAGAGAGTCAGTTTTGCTCATCGATGCGCTAGCAGGACTCCGTGCAGTCATCTGTCAAGGTGTGGGATATCTGAAGCAATTCTCATCTTCATCCCGAAGGCACTGTATCCGTCTTTGCGGCTCACGTCCGTTCTGTAAAATGAGGCAGAAGTGTTTAAGTACAGCATGATATACCGCCTGCAACAGCATCACCAGCTGAGCACTTTTCTTGGGCAATCTCAAATCACAGTAGGTACTGAAGCCCATCATAAATATGGACATCGTCCTAGGTGTAGGCCAAGGTCTTTTTATGATCACTGCTGTTTCGCTTCTCCTGACAGCCAAGCGCCAAGCACCAGGGCAGAGCATCAAGCACACTAAAGTGTGGTTCCTTGATACAAGGGTGGCATCTTGAGAGCAGCATGCCTTGCGACAATGCTAAAACGCCCCTGAAGCACTGGCCAGCCCTGGGCAACAGAGGGCTGGCAACAGGCTCTTTGTCAGCACATTCGCATTTCCTGTTCCACTAGCTGTTGTCAACTATGCTGAACAAGAAATGTGTTGCTAGCTGTGCACATTCTCACACACCTCACCACTGCCCTTTGCTGCTGTTATTTGATAAAAGTATGCCTGCAGATCTCTGACCTCTTGGGGGTCTGCAACAAGTCCTGTGCAGACAAGCAGGAACTTCAACTCCGGAACCCACAAATATGTTTTGGGGAAAGATGCCCTCTCAGCATCCACAGCAGCAACAAGTTCCCTGCTGGGCACGAGGCAATGGAACAAGCATTAGCTTTGACATTCACTGAGTCAGCACATCAGCTTGCAGCAGAGCAATCTGCTCGTTTCAGAAACCTTTCATCAACCCACCATGGAACCTGCTGCTGACATATGTTCCCACTAGGTCAGGTCCCCATGGACCCAACAGGCGAACAATTGACTGAGGTGTTACGCCCCAAGTCCACATCAGCTTTATAAACCGCCACAGCTGCCCCCTCCACGTCCAAGCAGACCTGACTCTCTTTGGGATACCACTTTCCACTGGCTTGCCAGCCTGTTACCAAACCATGGCAGGCACTCAACAAACAGACCTCTCTCCCATATGAGGCACTATCTGTTTTGGCAACATCCATTCCCATCAACAGCATGGGCAATGGGGTGAGCAGCAAGTGTAGCAGCTTTTCTTCATGCTTGAATGCAAGCTGCAGAGTTCAGGCCACAGCTGGTGCATACTATTGGATAGGACGACAGGACTGAGTTATGCCAGGTGAGGGGGTACATCAAAACTAACTCGATGCAAAGGAAAGGATACCATTGTGCCAGTGAAGCAGCAACATTTTTGCAGGCCTTGGAAAGCCAAATTGGAACTTATATTAGCACTGAGCAACACAGTTACATCATGTTTGTAATCTTTAATCCAGCAGTTTATCAAACAGAACTGTACGTGTACAGCTATGTCCAGCTCCTCAAATTTGTGCCAGTTCCAACCCCAAACCTTGAACAACAACAGGCAGCAGAAACCGAAGATATGCCACAATTACAAACAGCACTCACAATTGCAGCTGGGCACACAAGAATCAGGTGCTCGACATGCTCAGGGTGTCTCAAGGCATAGGTTGCTGCCAGATAACCTCCTAAACTGTGACCCATGAGAATCATTTTTTTCAGGCCAATCTTTTCCTGCCAGGAAGCGAGTGAAGACACAAAAAAGTCCTCAGCCTCTTCCCTGCTCTTGGCGTCAAAAGTTGGGCGACCTAAAAGATGACAAGCAAGACACATCAGCACAACAGTTATTGAAGTGTGCCCACTGCATGTACAATTTTGCATGCATTGACAGCAGACACCACCAGGGAAATTGCAAGAGAGTATGTTGTTACATATAGTAAACAACGCAAATCAATACTTCATTAAGCGGTAACTAGGGTGTGTGTTGAAATCTTGAATGACTCTGCTGTTGATTGTTGGGGACTGGCCCACATGTCTGATAAGCGAAAGCTCATGCACTTGCCTGACAGCCCAGTTCCCAGCCAGTCCACTGCATATGTGCAGAAATGCTTGGACAAGTCGTCAAGGTTCCTGGATCAAACACAACATAGATGCAAAATTCGATGATTTCAGTGCCCAGCAGACACCCATGAGGAGACCACAGCGATCTCAATTGACTGGCAAGGGGTCGTCTTCCAAAGAGAACAGCACTCAACACCACAGCTATTTGCCACGACAAGACTTCTTCTTGTCACGAATCGGTTTTCGAACATTAATTGTTTATTCCGTTGCTTCAACGACAGTGCAGTAACACAACATCTAAATCAACTCGTATCCAAAGCTTCTGATAATCGAGGTCCAGGGCGTACCTGTAAAGGAAACCAGAGCCTGAGCCGTAGCCCGGCAAACATACCAGTGTGGGATTACTTGCGGCACCGGCAACAATACTGTGGATGAAGTTTTGACTCCCCCCATCCAAACGTGTGTCTTGGATCTGAAGTATGGCCCTGCCCACACATGCACAGCGCTCATGTAGGTACTGCTGCCATGAACCTATGTGCGATTTCGTCCAGCAGAAAAGCGGAAGGATGAGTTGCAGGTGAAAATACTTTTGGCAGCATAACAGCAGTATGGGGGCGGTGATTCCATATTATTCTCCTGTACAATGGAGTGGACATTCTGGTCCCTACGCACTTGCATCTCCCCAGGAGATTGGCTTCCGCCTGAGCCGCCTCTGTAGCAGACGTTCGCCTCCATCGCAAAAGTCTGGTCCACCTGAAACGCAAGACGTCACATCCAGGCGGCAGCAAAAGCTCCAGCCCAAAGCCAGGTTTTGCATTGTTGGCAATCAAGGCAAGCGTCCGCACCCAAATAACGCATCCACGCGGTTTCTGCGCCCACTGACGACATCAAGCACCAATGTCAACAGAACAGAGCACACGCAGGAACCGGGAAGAGGTTGCCCGTGTCCATGGCCTCACGTAGAAGAAGCCCCATGCATGTCATAGCCACCAAACGCGGTGCCACTCTGTCGATTCCACTTCGTGGCTGGACCTGGATACACGCGGGCACTGTGTGCCTGGCTACCTGGAAGCTGGGTGGCGAGTGGCGCCGTCGGTCGGATTGGTCATCGAATACCAGACTGGCGAGCCCTGCGATGTAGGAACAGGGCACGGAATGCGTGGACCCCCTGCTCAGAGAGGACGCTCACGCCTGCGCTATTGTAGTCGCAAACGGTGCGCTGTCCGCCTGTCTCTGTCGTTCTTCTGTCGGTCACCCTCACGCCCTCCTATCAGGGAGAGGCGAGCACGGCTGCGTGCGCGATGACAAACAGGGCCGTGTTGTTCCATACCAGGGAGGTTCTGGCAACGAACGTCGCGTGACTATCCACACATAACACGACGTGATGGTTGCCTCCCCTTACTAAATGATGTTGTGTCTTTTCCATTGCGGCTGCCATCATCACCACTGCAGTGTTGCCCGACGCCTGAAGCTGCTCCGGCGAAACTCGGACCTCACAACTTGCTGACTGGCGCCTGTTGCAGCATGTCGAAAGCACTTTTAAACGCTACTTACAGCTGTTAAATATAATGATCAGCATTATGGGATGATGGATTCTAAAATGCTGATGAAGCTGGGCATGGACGTAAAGGGGGAAGCTAATGCGGTTTCTGGTGTAAAGATTACGGGCTGTAAGGTGAAGTCGTTACAAGTGCAAGCATGAAGGTTCAGCTGCGCGGGGGATGTGGGAGTTCTGGCGTGAAGAAGGCGTCCATAGAGTGTCAAAGAATTGCTGGCTGGAATTGCTCCTAGATTACGAGTTGTTAGGATGAGTGGAGTATGTTTGAGATGGGCAGTAGGGACAGGAAGGATAGAGGAAAAACTATTGGTCATGAATAGAGAAAGGGACAAGGAAAGTGTAAATGATTGTAAAGTTACTTGTGCATGAATGGTGTGCATGAATAGAGGTTGTGAGATATCCGATAAGTGGTAAATATGTGCTGGAAACAACGTGTTTCATGACGGGCTGTGCTAAAAGCATGTTACAACATTACGCAGCCACAAAACTAATGCAAGGGCACCTGTCCCATTCAGAAAAGACAGCCTGACAGTTAAGGCTAAGAAAGGCGTTAGTCGGAGCCCGGCGTGACAGCGGTACCTTACACGTAACAAGTCACTATGACCAAAGGGAAGGAAAGAAAGAACTAGTATTAGGCACTGACTAGAATAGGGAAACAATCAGGTACAGATCATGAGGGTGAGACTGTAAAGATGTACCAGGATGAGTAAGGGACAAGAAAAAATATCAACAAAAGACAAGGTGCTGACATAATGCAAAGCATGGTTGTTCATGATGAATCTTCAGCTGTACTGCACCAACAAGAGTCTCATTAAGGTGCTTATAAGGCAGTTTGGGTGTTATGAGATGGAACTATAGGAGGCTCTGTATGTCAAATCTGCTGCAATCGATTCTTGGGGTGTGCACCTAGAATTACCATCAAAAATATACCGAAACGACTTTGACAATAACGTGGTGTGTGCACTTGGACCTCCTGGGCGGTGGCTGCACTCAACCCCTGGTAGTTCATTAGAAAGATGAGCATATTCATCTGAAGGGAGCTCAGACAAATCTGTCACTCCCTCAAATAGATAGAGAATGTTGTCAACGTTGTGATCTGATGCAAAGAACTAAAAGGTGATGGTTGTGTCGATCCACAAAAGGATAACATAAGTTACTATGACTGACGGGACTGCCATGGTGGTATAGTACACTAAACATCCCTTAAATGGAGCCATCCGATGCACAAGACCGTGTTGTGAGTCATGCTACTAGCTAATATGATGAAACCGGGGGGATAGAATCAAATTGAGGAGTACCACATGACACACTAGAGCACGCGTGGGGGCATTCCGCATGCTGCCCCACGTTGCAGAGGAAGTCATGTGCAGTCATGCACTGTGACAACCTCGGTAGCTATATGATCGTTTGAAGGGGTTCCCTGAGGACCTATTCTTAAGGAATAAGAGTGCATAGGCGAGGCGTTGCAGTGTGAGCGACAAGCAAAGGGAACCGCTGGCCGAGGAGCACTCATCGGGGGCTAGAGAGGTCGTGCGCATGGTGGACCTGGTTGGCGCGCCTCCCATGGGCATGCTGGCCTAAGATGCCGAGGCTCCGCTTCCTCCCACAGTGGGAATCCTGCCCAAGAGTTGTGAATCAATGGCGTGCCATTGACTGTGCAACACTGCCTTTGAGACGCGATGGCGGGGCCGGTTGGGGCTCCCTTTCTGTGGACTATGCCAACAGGAAAAGGCCTCCCATAATGGTGGGTGCGAACGGCCTTTGAGTGGACATGGCAATGGTGTCTAGGATGAATGTCCCAACCCCTTTAACTCAAGTTGCAAGCCTACGTAGTATGCCCTATTCCTAATTTTGTCGGAGCCTAGCACTTCGGCAGAGGTTGCGCCTTCGACTCCAAGTGAATAAATGCCTTGGACGGAAGATCACAACGAGGTATGGATATCCACTATT